GGCCATTCCAAACCCACTTCTGAGCTCGCCCAAGGCAAGCGCACTGCAGCTTACCCCTGAAGCCAGGCCCGTCCTGGAGCTCCTCCTTGCACTCATTTTCCGCAGTACTGTTGGTGGTCAAGGCCGACTCAGAGTACTTGCCTTTTCTCTTCTTCGCCCCTTCTCACATTCTCACCTGCACCAACTCGGTTCCGCTCACCATTTCTCCCGGGGATCCCTGCATCAGGCTTCCCGCCATTTTCTTCAGGTCTCAAGATTTGTCCCCTTCCAACTCATCCTCCTCTGAGCATCCCCATAGCTTTCCAAAATGCAAATCTTACCTCATCTGGCCTTAGCCTAAAGTCCTTTATTGACCCTTCATAGTTCAGAGGATGAAGTTCATGTTTCTTGGCACCCATGGGTCCTGTTTATCTCTGTGCTCTTGACTTCCCTTCCCTGTGGGCCCAGTTTCCCAGGCTGTACTGTGCCACAGGGACTTAGGGCTCTTGATCTACATGGCCCCCCTCATGCTGTTTTTTCCTCTGGCCCTTCACACCTGTGCTTTCTACCCCTTAAACATCCTCCCCTCTCTGCTGTGTCTTCCTCTTCTCCTGATACCTCAGAATCGAAGTGCAACCTCTTTGGGGAGCCTCACTATACAACATGATGTAGCTGCCCCTCTGTGTTCAAACATCATTCTGTGCAAGCCTCTGTTAGAGGATGTAGGACAGTTTAGTCTTTGATCCCCTTAGGCATCATCCTTTCTTTCTCTCAAGTCCCTTGAGGGCAGCACCTATGTCTTACCTTACTTTGCATTCCTATACGTAGGGTAATCCATCTGGCCCATGGAGTTTGCTCAATAAATACTGAATGGAAGCTTGAACCAAGAACATACATTATTTTCTTTCATCTTCATAAACTGTGAGGTGCTCATTGTTAGAATAGAACCTACCAATAAGGATCATACATTCATTTCTTCCACTGTATGGACAAAGACTTTCAAACAGTTACTGGGGAAGCAAGGACTGTGAAGGAGTAACCTGGAAAGGGAATATACCCTTTGGGTGGTAATCCCACCTCTAGGAATGTCTCCTAAATAATCAGAGGCAGAAAAGCTTTATTCACCAAGATGCTGCTCATCACTGAGTAATTTGTGATAAAAAAAAAAAAAATCTGGAAAAGATAGAAAAATAATTAAACCGTCAAAATTACGGTATGTAATACAACTAAACATTATACTGCCATTATCCACTGCTTCCAGAGAATTTTTAATCATCTGGGATAATGCTTATGTTATGCATAATGAAAAAGATGGTTGGAAAACTAACAAATATTGTAAAATCTTAAATGATACAAAGGAAAAAAAGAAACCCTTACAATAAGCAGAGAAAAAGGATTTAACAGAAACATACCCAAAATTAACTCTTCAGTAATTGTATCTTGGGTGATTTTTGTTTTTTTTATAATCTTTGGTATTGCCTAAATTTTCTACAAAGGCCCCTTGACTTTCACCATCAGAAACATAAAAATTTGCAGGTTAGAAATTTTGACTGTGTGGCTTTAATGAACATCTTCTGTTCCATTTGTGTGGCACCCTTCCTCCTTCCTCCTGTGAGAGTGTCTCAGCTTTTCCTTGGGGACACATCTTCCCTCATTCCTAGATTTCATGGTGTGGATGAAATGAACCCTCAGCCCCCAGCTCCCAGAGTGGATGTGGGATCCAGTCCCAGTCAATCATCAGATCCTCCCCATCTGGCTTCAGTGACTGGTCCCAGATGTGCATGTGACTTAACCCAGGTCCGTACTTTTATAGGAGATGTTCACGGGGACAGAAAAGCTCTGCTCACATTGGTACTAATAAGCTATGAGCCTAGAGCTGCCCGATTGTGTATGAAGACAGGGAGGTTATACAGGAGCGTACTGCTGAAGGATGGACCTGGAGAAAGACACATGTGCACACCTCCCCCGCTCCGACACTCACACCACACACACAACCTTCAAGTCCTGATGACTTTGAATTCTTGAGTGTAGGAAAGTCTCAAATGTTAGCCTAACTGGACTTTTCAGTTCTAAGAACCCTTACATTTTAGGTTTCTTTCTTTCTTTCTTTTTTTTTTTTTTTTTTGTATGTTTGAGTCCGTTTGAGCTGGGCTTCTACAAGTTGCAATCAAGAGTCCTCACTAACACGGTTATGAAAATAATAAACTATGTAAAGTATAATTTATAAAAGGCTCCAGGGCTGTCATAAGAAAGAGTACAGAATTGGCCCTGCACATCCTACCTGACAATGGAAACCATTTCCGTTGTTGGAAGTGTTTCTGCTGGGTGTGTTCTAAAATGTAGTTCACTCCCATAGCAGGTCACTTAGAGTACTTTCTAGATGCCTTCTTTTGCTGGCATGAGGTGTTATTAAAAATAGCTAGTCACCCTAAAGTCACAGTGTTGCAGGCTTTCTGCTATGCCTGGCATTAAACCTTTAATGGCTGGATCTGAGGAGATTTGGGGTATCTCAAGAAAGGGATTGGAGTGAAGGGGCACTTTGGTATTTAGGGAAGTGACCTTTTTCCAGTCAATACAGAAAAACTTCAATATTCTACCAACCTATGTGGCCAACTTGGTGTGTATTGGCTGAACACAACCCCTCTCCGCAGGCATGAGAATTTCTTTTTGGGTACATGCTTACCTTCCCAGACTGTGAACCCCCCTTGGCAAGGACTTTGTCTTACTGATTTTTGGAGGTCTTGTGCCTACCCAGGTGCTCAGTTAGTAGATATTTGTTGGATGGTAAACATGACTGACAGTCCAGGATTGTATAATTCCCTATTCTGGTTTGTTTGTTTTTTTTTTTTTTTTTCCCCTGATAGAAGTTTCCTGCCTAGAATTAAATTGCAGTATGGTCTCTTTTCACCTGCTCTTCTGAAGACTTGTTATCCTCTCCAATATCAGTTGATTGAAGAAGAAAATTGTAAATTTTCTCTCTCAGGCATAATGTTGATATTTTAACTCCCAGTGATTTTTTTTCTTCTTACTACAAAATGGATTTTAGAAATGAATCAAGATCCCAGAAACTTATGATTGCTTTGAGTGGTATCTTTTATCTCTGTCATCCTAAGAAAAAGATGTGGTCTGATGGCCCATAGCACAAGCAGAGACCTTTGAATTTCAGTTTTCCCACAGCTGTATGACTTGACACATTTGCTAAGACATTGGGGTGGGGGTCCTAGTCTTGACGGTAAGGATTGTGGCAGGGCCCACCTCTGTCAGTTAACAATGGTACTCCAAGTACTAGGTCTTCCTTGTTCAGAGTAGACACTTACATGCTTGTTGAATAAATACATGAGTTTAAGGAGAGGCAATCACACATATCGACTGACCTAGAAATGATAATTTTTAAAAAAGAGTATTTATTTATTTATTTATTTGCGGGGTGCGGGGGTGGGGGGTGGGGCATGAGTGCAGGGAGGGGCAGAGGGAGAGAGGACTGAGCCTGGAGCCCCGTGAGGGGCTTCACCCCTGGACCCTAGTATCATGACCTGAGCCAAAGTCAGTCGCCTAGCCAACTAAGCCACCCATGTGTCCAGAAGTGATCATTTTTAAGTGATTAGCTTTAAAAATCCTTTCTTAAAAAAACTAACTTAGGTGCTATGAATATCAAACAGGAGAGCTTTTAATATTAAAAAAAGTGGGGTGAGGAGCTGGTTAATTATACATTTTGGATGCTATTCTAGGGAAGAGTCTAGGTATATCTATATGATTCCCCCACTTTTTCTGATGGGCACCTCCTATTTATTTTTCACTCTGAAGCTCTCTGGTAAGGTGTTTTCTTGGTTTATTCCAACGCAGTGGGAAAGGTCATCGTATCCGGAATCAGTCTTAAAATGACCAGGCTCTCCCCTCTATTGGCTGTGCGGTCTTGGGTCACTTTTAAAACTCAGGTAATAAACATTCTGTTCTACCCACCTCACACAGCTGGTGTGGTGAGCATGGAATAATATTAGAGTAAGAAGGAACTATAAAATCCCGCACAGAGACTGTTGTTACCTTGGATAAAGCAATTCCCAGGCAGTGGAACCCGGTTTAAGATGATTGTTTTATTATTATTTTGCTCCTGGTACAGGCTAAGGCAGTTAAGAGGACCGTCGGGACCCCTGTGCCAGTAACTGTCCTCTGGTACCGAGGCAGACAAATTACAGGGCAGGGGGTGGGGGTGGGGTTGGAGGGGGAGGCTTGCAAAGAGCTTAGCACAGAGACCCTGGCGGAAATGGGTTGAAAAACTCCGGATCCCAGATCAAACTTCGCAAGCCAAGCTAGGTTCCCAGGAAAGTCTCTGCAGGGGCTTCTTTGGCGGAGGCCACGGCCGACCAATAGAAACAAATTGTATTCTTACGGTTAAGAGCAGGTGGAGAAACGGAGCGTAAAGAATTACCTACGCCCCGGCTCAGCATTTCACCACGGTGTCAGGCGCCTAGCTTGGCCCTCCTTGCTTACATAAATGGAAAAGAACGTGGGGGCCCAACTCCCAATCCCCTGCGCCCCAACTCCTGTCGGTTCCCGCACCACCTCCGCCACCAGCGGTGTCTCTTCTCTTCCCTCGGGAGCGTGCTCGAGGGCCGGGCGGCGGACCTTTATTGTCTGGGGAGCACCTGCCAGGTGGCGGGCCCGTGCCCTAATGTGCGCTGGGTGCCGGGCTTCACAAAGCGCGCGGGCAGCACCCCCCTCGGTCTGGGAACCGCCTGGGGCCCCAGACCACATCACAGGGGAGGCGGAGAGGTAGAGAGATGAAGGGGCTCGGGGGTCAGGAGCAGGCGGCGAGGGCCAGCACGCCCTCCTCCTCCCCGCCCGCTCAGCCCCCGGGGATTAGCACGTCGAAGGAGCAGAGGCCAGACGCCGCCGGGAGGGAGCGAGACCCGGGAGCGAGGGAGGGAGGGGAGGCGAGGAGGGGCGCGGAGAAGGGGCGTGGTCAGAGCGCAGGGGGAGGGCGCTGGGAGGAGGGGCCGCTGCTCCGCGCTCGCGGCTCTGGGGGCTTGGCTTTGCCGCGCTCGGTGCACTTGGGCGAGAGCAGGAACGTGGAACGGAGCTCCGATCCCAGCGCAGCCACCGCGATGAGAGGCGCCCGTGGCGCCTGGGATTTTCTCTGCGTCCTGCTCCTCCTGTTTCGCGTCCAGACAGGTGGGAGAGCGCCGCGGGCCCCCCGGGCCGCGTCCCCCGCCCCGTTGTAGCCCGTGCCCCTGGGGGCTAGAACCCGCTGGGGTGGGGGGTGGTTCGTCGGCTGAGGTGACGGCCCTTCAGTGCCCGTGCTTTTCAGGCTCCGGGAAGGTTCGAGGCGTTCCCGGGACTCTCCTGCGTCCTGCCTCGCTCACCTGCGCGGGGAGCCCCTGCCGCGGTGGCGAGGGTGCTGAGCCGGGGGTCTTGAGGGAAGGAGGGCAGCGAGGGGGCTCAGCAGTGGGCGAGGTGCGGTCGCCGGCTGCAGGCTGCGTGCGAGTTCGGGGCTGCTTTTGTGTAGAGGGTACGGGGTGGGGGGGCCGAGGCGGGCGGGTCCTGGGTCCGCACCCAGCGCGTTATCTCCGCGGTGCGAGGCGCGGCCGCCGCTTCCTTTTGTTAAAAGTTGCGCGTGTGTGACCAGCGCACTGGACGAGCAGCCCGCAGGTTCCTAGCCGCGCCGAGGGCAAAGTTGGAGAGCGTTTTCGTCGCTCTGCGGCTGCCGCTTTCCAAACCGCGGGCGCTCTTTGTGGCCAGAGCTGGGGACCGACCCTCTGCCGCCTCTCCTTGAGGCGTCCCCGGGCCCCCTGGCTAGGCATTTAGCCCGGGGAGCGCGCGGCGTGCGGCTCTGGGGCCGGACCCCGCGAACCTAGAGGTGGAGGCTACGGAGACAACTTGGGCAGGGCGTGTGGAAAGCAGCCGCTAGGTTGCAGACTTTTTGCCGTTGTAAATCCCATGCCAGAGGCTCGCCCCTTTCCGCCGGGGTGCCGTTTCTTTCCTGCCACGCGCCTCCGAGCGGCTGGTGGCTGCGTTTGCCGCCTGCTCCCGGAGGAGGCAGGGACAGTGCGCCCGGACGCTCAGGTCCTCCGCCCGGCCGCCTCCCGCGCCCCAACGGGATGCCCGGACAGGCTGGCGGGGCTCTGCAAGCCGCTCGGATCGGTGTCTGCGACCTGTAATTTCGGGTCCCCGTTTTCTTTGGGAATTTTGAGATTTGCAACACCCTTCCCCACGTGATAGCCACACTACTTAAGGCCCGCCTGGGGCGGGGGTGGGAGATGGAGTGGAACTTTTCTGTAAATCTTCCTTGGATCTTGAAGCTGTCGTGAAAATCCGGTTCTGTCTGCGCGGGAACTTGGGTCTGAAGGTGGGGGAGGAGGAGGATTTGCGGGCTCCTGGAAGCTCTCGGTCAGATTCCTGCCCCTTCTCCCCCCCCCCCCTTTTTTTTTCTGGGTGTCGCTGGTGCGCGATCGAGAACAGGTCGCCCGGCTAAGCCTTGAAACCCTGCTCTCTCCCAGGTCATTTTTTGAAAAACCTTTAAGGCTATCCCGGTGATGCAAAGACGGAAAGTGAGTCTGAACTGGGATTTGAGGGTTAAACAAGGAAGCATCGCTGTGAACTGTCGTGGTATTCCATTGACCACTGGTCAATTTCCCATAAAGTCTCAAGGTGCAGCCTCCCTACTCCCGGGGCTGGAAAGGCATTGTGAGGGCTTTCCTGTGGAGGAAGGGAGGCCTCGCACCTGGATCTGGACCTTGTGAGGTGATGGTGACAGTGGGGAGGGAGGAGGGATGATCCTGAGTGAGTGCCCGGATTCCGTGGCGGATTTGACCGGTCAAGCTTCAGAGGACATATTTCGTCCTTACGTCTTTGTGCCTTGAAATGAAGGCTCAAATACCTTGGCATTTTTAATTTCACTTAAGGTATGTGTACGGACTCAAACAGGGCGCTGGCACGACAGACCACACAGAATAGTTACCTTTTAAAAAATTAAATGAATCCGTTGCTTCCTTCTTCCTCATAATTATTCCTGCTCCATCCAGTAGATTTTGGGCAGAGGGAATTTTAAGGTCTGGCTCCTGGGGGGCAGTATGGTATAGTGACAGAGCCTTGAGCTGCCCTTCTGGTTCTCCTTTTCCAGCATTTATTAGCCGTGTGCCCTTGGCAGGTCGTTTAAATTCTGGAGATCGCAATTTCCTCAAGAGGATGGTGAAGCATCTTTTGGGCCCCAAATTCTCCTCTGACAGTGTTCTGAGTGTAGATAGCAATTTTTCTGAATTCTTTTCCTGATTCCTTTCTGTCTCCCTGAAATTCCTCTGCCTCCCCTGGTCACAGGGTCCACTCGTGGTATGCTGCTGGTCAGCCTCTGCCTAAAGCAGGAAATTGTGGTTTATTCTGCTCCCTCCAGGATCCAAGCACGTTTGCCCCGTTTCCCTTTGAATTCACTCAAGGAGGCGCCAATTCTGTAGGACTCTCCATCACCACTCCCTCAGTATTTATGACTCCTGTGCCCAGTGAGGTGAACCTGAAGGAAATAGTGAATCATACCTTTCCCCTTTGTTCCTGCAGGTGTGAGGTCGAAGTCATACCCAGCTGCTGGCCCTGGGACATTTTGGATCTTATCCTGTTGGGAATAATATGATGGTCTCGTAAAGTCCAGAAAAGTCATTTAGCCCCATTCTGGTCTTTCCCACTCATCCAGATTTTTTTCCTTAGGATTGATAAATTATGTATGCTGTGTTATTGCAACACATTTTCTGATGCGCCTTAAATTTTACTTTGTGTGTTGTACATAGTTGTTCTTTATTCGGAACTGGGCCAGGCCCATGCTGGGTGGTTGGGGGGGGGTGGTGCTTTATACTTGGTATTTCTAGTCCTTCCAACAAACCCTGGTGGTGGGGGTAGTACTGTTGTCATCCCTACCATTTTATAGCTGGAGAAACTGGCTGAGGATTAGTCAGTTACCAAATTAATGCGTGGTTGAAGCCTGACATTAGCCCCACATATATGCCCATCTGTGTATCCATTCACATGCCTTAACAGAATCAGGTGTGTGATTCATTGGAAACTATGCAATGAACACATATTTATATGTCAGGGTATTGTTGGAGGTTCTGGGACTACAGGATGGTCAAGGTCATTACCTTCCAAATTTTGGTAAAAAAAAAAAAAAAACCACAATTGCCTGTCTTAGGATGTCTGAGGTAGTGTTCTCAGTTTGAAGAGAAGTATTCACTGGGAAGGGGAGTCATTAAATTCTGCTTCCCTGGGGAGCGTGTAGGCAATGGACCCTGGGCAAGAAGGCTGTAGGTTTTAGCTGTCCCATTCCAAAGGCCCTCAGAAATGAGGATAAGCTGTCTCTAAGGTGATGGTGGAAATCAGTTGATCTTTTTCCCCCATCCCCCACTCCAGAAAATTAAAAAAAAAAATGCTCTCAGCATTATTACATACTTGTGGCATACTTGTGTAAGAGCAGACCCCCAAGGAATGAGTTAATACCGCTGGTCATTTAGGGACAGATGTTGTGGTGATGAATTTTGCTGCTGTTGTTGACGGCTGCTAGAAGTTACCCTTAGGATTTTGACTCATTTCCTCAAGTCTTTCCCCCCCAGCTGATTAAAGAAGGACACCAGGAAATGAGCCGCGGTGTCCAGGTGGAATTCTTGAAGCTGGCCTTGCAGGACGGGAACCCCTTAAAGGCAGTGGTCAAGGCCGCAGCCGCCTTTGCTCCAGAATGCATTTAGTTGAACGGTCGGCGGACGGGCTGGGACAAGGGAAGGGCTTTATTTTGCCGCATTGGTGTGTGGTTGACTTTCAGAATAAGGGATTGAAAGACATGGGAAGGGGTCTTAAATATGCAACATTTTATAGGTGGCTTCTGTAACTTGAATGGGTAGTGCATGAGTTTGAAGCCGGAGGGAGGAGTGCCTCCACAGGAGTAAGTGGAGGTACAAGTGTGAGTCTAGGGCCAATCTTTGTTGAAAGGGAGGGGACTTGGAGGAAGTCTGGCCTAGTCCCTCTGATTTTGGACGTTTGGCACCAGAGACCGGTCATCTTTTGACTTCAGACTCTAAATAAGTAGAGAGGGGTTACTGGCTGATAGCCCATCTACGCATTTGTTGTCCCCCCCCCCCCCCCCCGCCCCATGCTTTTTAAGAAAACATCCAGGCCATACTTAAAAATCTGGAGAATTTATGTCAAGATCTCGATTTGTCTGTTCTCTTGAAGAACTGAGAACTCTGTCCCTTTCGATGGACCTGTGGTGTTTAGGAGGCCCTAAGAAATAACGCTCTCCAGCCAGCCCTTAAACGTGTAGACATTTAGCCTTAGGCCCTGGTGAGTGTAGATGGGACCACATAGGTACCTGGTGGACAGAGCACAGGCCCAAGGAGGGACTACAGCCTTGTATTAGTCTGCTGGCTTTGTGGCTGACACCTCTGGGGCCTTGGAGCAAGTCGTTTGCCCTGCTGAGTTTACTTTTTCCGTCTTAGTTTCAGCTGTGTGACTTTGGCAAATTCCTTAACCATTCTGTACCATCCTGTGCCATCCTGTGCCAGTAAATGTGTTTCTACCTGGAGAGTTTTTAGAATAGTGATGCCTGGCACGCTTTCTAGTACAAGCTCCGTACAAGTCTGTCATGATTATTATCTGTAAAATAGGAATTCTTGTTATGCCTAGCATGGAAATCATGCGCACTCTAATATGGTGGGTTGTCCTGCAAATCAGAAAGGGATTTTTGTACAGACTCCCTGGCCCAGGGTGTGGGATGGGCACCTGATGAGCCAGTGAGCTCTGTGAGTATGTAGAATGTGACTTTCGCTTTGCCACCTTTGCGTGCAGGTATCAGTAAGTGCTAACACGATGGCTTTTAACGTGAAATAAACTTTCATTTTTGTTGTGCGTTTTAGATAGTTTTTGACCTAACAGTTGGGAATCACTGCTCCGAGACTGAACAGATCTTGGACCTCCCCCCTCCCCCCAAGAAATACAAGTAACCCAGCCCATTTCTCCAGTGCAAGCAGTCACATCAGCGGACTCTTCCATTCATCTTACGCTTTAGCTTTTGTGCTTACATTTTGGTTTCTGCACACTTTGTGCCTCCTTTTCTGACAGCTAGGTTTTCAACACTTGCAAGCTTTAAGCTAAATTGTTATCCAGGGTGGAGGGCGTCAGAGGTAAGACCTTGGGCTCTG